TCATGAATATAAAACAATATATATATATGTATATATTGGAGAAAGAATTATGTAATTGTTGCAATGATTTATAATAGAGTTAATTTTGTAATATATTTCAGACAAAATTATGCCATAGTATATAAAACTAGAGGTCTCTTTAGTTGGAATGTTGTTCTGTTAGCTATGTCCCAGTTTTCTCTATCAATGGAATTTGTATAGTATTACAGACCTTATTCTGAAAGAAAGTAGCGAAACACTTTACTTCTCTCTATTAGTTGAATTCTATTTTATGTTAAAAATAGTAATTTGTGTTAATCCTTTTTTTATTTCAGCTTCGTGCTTAAATAAAGTGAAAATAAGGGATAATTAATGATGGGTTTGATTCTTGCTGCATGCATTACTACTGATCATACCAATGGGTGTATTAATTACTGAACATCGACTATAGGTTTACAAGATGCGGGAGAGATTTGGTATAATCCCCTGGTATCGAATGGGGATTTAAACAATATTGTTTCCTTAAGACATTTTCTATTGTGGTAGAAAACACGTTAATACGATAAGAAGTATGAAAGGCTACATTTAAGGCGAAAAAGATGATTTAATGCATCTTACAATTGTTTTATATAACAATGCATTATCGATGCACTGCATAAGTTTATGTTTAAGTGCAAAATTAAGATAGATACTTGTTATTAGTGGTAATACCATTGAATCTTATAACATAATGTAAAAGAATTACAGTTTTTATACATGTGAATGTATTAAAAAAGTGTTGCAAAAATGTCATTCTTATCGAATTTAAAGAAAGCATTCCACTTTGGTGGTAATGATGCAAAAAAGAAGAAGTTGTATAATAATATTAAAATGGATTGTAACCCAGAAGAATTCTGGGAAATGGTGGGTGAACTTGGAGATGGAGCATTTGGCAAAGTTTATAAGGTAAAGTAACAGACTTCTTTGTTGTGTTAATATTTAATACATAACTTCAATTTGAACAGTTAATTATTAAATGGTCTCTTTTATCTCTTTAGGCACAACATAAACAAACGCATCAGCTTGCTGCTGCTAAAATGTGTGCATTGGAAGGAGAAGACGATCTCAGTGATTTCATGATTGAAATAGACATATTGTCAGAATGTAAACATCCAAATGTTGTTGAATTGCATGAAGCATATTTTATTGAGGGCAAGCTATGGGTATGTTCTTGGATTACATAGTATGCGCAAGGATAGTTGAGTTTTATGTGATAATTTGTTTGAATCTGCAGATGTTAATAGAATATTGCGATGGTGGTGCTGTTGATTCAATAATGGTAGAATTACAGAAAGCTTTAACAGAACCACAAATAGCGTATATATGTCAACATATGACTAAAGGTCTTGCATTTTTACACAAATCTAAAGTAATTCACAGGGATTTAAAAGCAGGAAATGTTTTGTTAACTATGGCTGGAGGAGTAAAAATTGGTAAATTTTTCTTACGATAAATATCCCATCTTTCCAATTTATAAGTTAAAAGAAAGCTAACAGATTGCTTAATTTTACAGCTGATTTCGGAGTATCTGCGAAAAATAAACATACACTACAGAAACATGATACATTTATTGGTACACCGTATTGGATGGCACCGGAAGTAGTATTATGTGAAACATTTAGAGATAATCCTTATGATTTCAAAGTAAGCAATATACTTCATGTCTATACATTTTACATGTTCATGATCTAGTAAGTGATTTTCAAGCAATTCTAATATATATATATATATATTGCTTTTAATGGTGTATAGGTAGATATTTGGTCACTTGGGATTACCCTAATTGAGTTTGCGCAAATGGAGCCGCCGAATCATGAAATGTCACCGATGCGAGTTCTTCTGAAAATACAAAAGAGTGATCCGCCGAAACTCGAACAGCCTGGAAAATGGAGCAAAGATTTCAATGATTTTATTGCAAAGGCTCTTATAAAAGATCCAACATCACGACCTACAGCCGACGAATTGTTAAAGCATTCGTTTATAAATCGGAATTTGGACTCGAAACCGATCAGGGACTTGTTATTGGAGTATAAAGCCGACGTCGTCGAAGAGGAATTGGTCGACGAGGAGGCAGAGGTAAATTTCGTTTTCCGGCTAATACTAACAGCCATTTGCCGTCATCCCATAAAAAATATGAAAACCTTATAAGCAGAATTAATATATACATGTGCATATGTGTATGTATGTACATACGTTGTTACATGCTTTCATCTTGATAGAAGGCAAAAATGGCGAAAAAACACAGAGAACAGTATCAGCGGATTGGTAAGCTGCTTTCAAATGAAATACACACTTTGCAACAAGCAAATGCATTAGTTGTTTTTTAAGTAATTAGAAATTTGGGAAACGTTCTATTAGGAGTCTTATGAAAGAATTGGTAATCGTGCGGTTTTTTGATACGTTTCATTGAAATTTTACAAATACAATGTAACAATACATCTCATAGTCATGCATGATAAATGTTCAGAAAGTTCGTGCACGCAATACTTGGTGTTTAATTACGTTCTATTCTTAATTTGCCAAATTAGTATATCGAATTTAGTTTCATTTAAACGGAATGAACATTTTAGATTAATTTTTATGTTCCTTGTTTGTCGCACATCATTGTATAGGACCGATCGCGATTTGAAAAAATGTTATGGAATATTTTTCATTTTCCTCCTTTACATTTAATCTAACGAAACCTTACTAAATATGTTGTAATTTGGGTAATTTGGCTGTGCATGCGGCTCTCCTGGGCCTCGCCAGCCCCATCACCCCTGCGTTTGTCAGGTCAGTAGCTTATGCAATAAGTGCTGTCTAATTTCATTTCTATATGTATATATATATATATATTATTGTGTTCGTACCGTTCATTATTATAATTCTTCGCTACTTTATTTTATTTTCAGACTGCGATGCATAAGCTATTTTCAATGTACCATATTTATATTTACCTGTTACTTGGACAATTTTTACTTTCACACCGACATATGCAGTAATTTTTCTGTTACATTACATCTAACGTCTTTGAAACGTGACGCATCTCCACGATAGAAACTATATTTTTTCGTTGACACAGGCAGTGTAACAAGAGTATAACCGAGCAACGTGTCTCGCCGCGAGAATAAAATCTAAATAAATATTTCAGGAGCAACGCACATCTCAGCTTCCTCTGGAGGTGGATCAACTCGGAGATGACTCTGCATCTATGCGCAGTGACGCTGATGTTAAGAGTAAGTTTTCATTTTCATACGGCAATTATGCGCGAAGAACGCAAACTGACAAATTGATCAACGGTCTTTTAGTTTCTGAAAAAGAAAATCTTGCTGCATCACCCGTATCTGCGAAAAAAGAGGAGAGTCACAAACGAGAGATCAACAGAGATGGCGAGAAGGAGGACAGGAACAAGAAACTACGGAAAGCGGAATCTAAAGAGAATATACCTGTGTCCGTTGAGAAGAAACAAGTACTTACATTTTACATTGATTGCCGATAGTTTCTTTTTCCACGCGAATATCGATAATATTCTTCACGCATCCGTTTTCCAGGCACCTAAACCCCCTAGTACAAGCGAAGTAAACGAACGTAGAGTATCTCGGGAAAAGGGTCCTGCTCCTCCTCCACCTCCTATGCGTCAGGACAGCAAAAACGAGGATAAGGAGAGTCACTCGAAGAGCTCCGATAAGCGAAGTACCGTCGAGGTATTAGATCAATGTAAGATTACTGATGAGAGTAAACGAGAAAAGAACGCGTTATCGGAGAGTCGAGAGACGGCGGAGAGGGAGCAAACGAATGTAGATACGTACAACGAGAAGCAAAGCGTTAAAGATAGTTTAGAGAAAATTACAGGCATCAGTGAAAGGGAGAAGGATCACTCGGATCACGCGAAGAAAGACACGAGACAGAAATCGATGGACGGTAAGGTGAATCCACCGTCGAAAGTGGAATTGACGTTGGAGGAGAAGAGAAAATCCGCCCCCGTTAGGCCAGAACTGACGGAGGATTGGACGAAACCGGTGTTCAACAAACAGTCGTCGTTGGAAGAAAGAAACAGGTGCGTGTTTTTCTATTGGTAGTATTTTTTCTTTTTTTTTAAGTTTTGATACTGAAATTCGGTTATTTTCAGAGCCGAGAAAAAAGCCAGCGTCGACGTACAAGCGAAACGACAGTCTTCAACGGAGGAGAACCGGAAGAGTCTGCAGGAGAAACGGAAGTCAGTCGAGGAGAAGTTAAACGCGGTTTTGGAGAAACGATTCTCCATGGACTCTGAAATGCGAATGAACGTTCCGTCGTTGGAGACACTGACGCGCCGGGAAACGCCGAAGATGGTGTCGTCCGAGAAGAATATTATCAAGGCTTGCTCCACCGAAAACATCAAGACAGATTACGGTATATGCAAAGCCGAGTCTGTCGTTAAAAGTCATAGCGAGGGGTCCTCTAGATACGATTCGTTGGAGAACTTCTCGGACGAGTTCGATGGCAAACGGGAGAAAAAGAAATGGTTGAGCAAGGAGCAGAGTCACGAGAACGTCGTAAACGATGCTTCGAACAACGAGAAGAGAGGTTCCTCGGTGAATGTCTCGGTAATTACTTCAACGCCTATTAGAAGCAGGAGCACGTCGAGAAGAGGCAGCGGGGATAACGTGGTTGTCATTACCGGTAAGATACGATATCTATTGTTGTATTGTTTGATATATTCTAGATTAACGAGTGACCTTGAATATTTCAATGCCTGTGAACGTTCGTAGGAAAAACCGACCAAGATATACGTCCAAACACATCAACCGTCCGGATCACGGCCGAGAGTCCAGATTTATCGAACAGCCTCGCGAGCAACATAAGTCAGGTGACAGTCGTGACTACACACCCTCCGGTACTAGTCGACGCCGTGTCGCCGACGCCTCTCTCTTGTCGCCCGTCCCCGACGTCGGAAGTCGTGATCGTCGCGAACGAGTTGAACAAGACGCAGGTCAACGAGAGTTCCACCGACGATGACGGGTTCCCGAGCTTAGATAGTTTAGAGTACACGCCGCAGGAGCAGCCCATCGTTCTCACCGACGTATCGAAGAGAGTCGGCAAGAAGCTGGACGAGTCCGAGGTACTGATCGTCAGTCCGATCGTGGACGAACTGCAGGACACTAGTCACGTTTCCGTGGTCACGGTCGGCGAGGATAAGGAGCAGGTGAAGGACTCTTCCATGTTGAACAAACGCGACGCGGTTCGGACGTCCTCCTCGCAGAGCGACGCGAGTCTGGTCGAGAGGTCGAGCACGAAGAGCGACAGCGGGGACGAGATCACGAAAATGATAGTCGCTGGAACGACTGTAGACCCTGTGGACATCGACGACATGGAGAGGAACTCGAAGAAGGTGAACGGTCTGGTGAAGAGCGACAAGTCCTCGGTGGGTCGCATCGACGACAAGGTTCTGAAGACGATCAAGCAGAAGGACGCGGCGAAGGTGTACAAGGAGAAGAGGATATCTCCGGACAGTTTCGAGGGGTCCAGATCGCAGAGCGAGTCCGGCTCGACGAGGTCGCACACGCCGAGCAAGAGCATCGATCGCTCCGACGCCGAGTCGATCTCCACGACGATCAGCCAGGACAGCAGAGAGTCGAACAAGGAAAACCACATAAGCCAGGGACAGACGCCGGAGGCGGAAGAGGAAGTGGTGCTGCGGCGGAAGCCCGATTACGCTCGCGACATACCGCGGCAGACGAAGACGAAGGAGGACATACAGATGATGAATCTGAAGAAGAAGACGAGGAAGCGAACCAGGAAGTTCGAGATAGACGGCGTTGTGGTCACGACCACGACGTCCAAGGTGATATACGGCGACGACGAGAACGGTAAAGTGTACGACGATCAGATCTTCAGGAAGCAGGAGCTGAGAGAGCTGAAGATGCTGCAGAAGATGGAGCAGAAGCAGTTCCAGGACCTGTCGCAGAAGGCGCAGTTCAACAAGGACCAGCAGGAGAAGCGGTTCGAGCAGGAACGCCAGCTGCTGGAGCGGAACGCCGAGACCGATCTGGAGTCGCTCGGCCGCCAGCAGAGGCAGCAGATCGAGCGGGCGGAGGCTCAGCAGGAGGCGGACCTCAGGCTCGCGTCGAAGAAGATCCGCAGCGAGCAGGAGAGGGAGCTCAAGCTGTTCCGCGAGGGCCTGAAGCAGGAGCTGAGATTGCTCAAGCAGGAGGTGGACCTGATGCCGAAGGACAAGCGGAAGAGCGCGTTCAAAATTCGGAAGGAGAAGCTCGAGGCGGAGCACGAGGAAAGGGAGAAGCACTTCCTGGACAAGCTGAACGAGAGCCACGAGATGTCGCTGCGGAGACTGTCGGACAGCCACCGGGAGAAGATCGCGCTGATGGAGAGGCAGTTCCTGCAGCAGAAGCAGCAGCTGATGCGGGCCCGGGAGGCGATGATCTGGGAGCAGGAGGAGCGGCACATCCACGAGAAGCAGCAGCTGCTCAAGAAACAGCTGAAGGACATCTTCTTCTTGCAAAGGCATCAGATGCTGATCCGCCACGAGAAGGAGCTCGAGCAGATGAAGCGGATGAACCAGCGGAAGGAGGAGGAGCTGGTCAAGCGGCAGACGGTGGAGCGCAGGAACCTGCCGAAGCGGATTCGCAACGAGATGAAGGCGCGCGAGATGATGTTCCGTGAGTCGATGAGGATCTCGATATCCTCCGTGATCGCGCCGGACCCCGACGCCGAGCGCGAGAAGCTGAAGAAGTTCCAGGAGAACGAGAAGAAGAGGTACAGGGCGGAGCAACAGCGGTTCGAGCTGAAGCACTCGCGGCAGCTGGAGGAGGTCAGGGCGCAGAGCGACGCCACCATCAAAGAGCTCGAGCAGCTCCAGAACGAGAAGAGGAAGATGCTGATGGAGCACGAGACGCTCAAGCTGAAGGAGCTGGAGGAAGCGTACGGTAAAGAACTTCGCGAATGGAAGGCACAGTTGAAGCCTCGCAAACAGGTAAACGACGATTACTCGCCTCTCGAATATTATTCAGCACGATTTTGCTTCTTCCCCTCGTCTCGTTTTCTTCCCCTCTCTTCGATCTTTTCTGTACTTCTCTCTTCTTCTCTCTTAGAGCGTAGAATTCGCGTCTCGGCGCGGATCACTCCCCTGTACAGATTACCTCGGCTGGTCTCTCAAGTAGAATCATTGAAAGCTTGCGATCAATCGTTGATCGTCGCGAGAGAAACGGGAAAATACGCGAATCTATCGTTGAAATTCCAAGGGTACCAATGCACCTACCGGCCATACTGAAATAAGTCTTCTTAATCTACCTGTTATAGAAGTTAGAGGCTGAGCTGTCGGCTGAAATGGAAGCGTTGGAAGCTCGCTACCGAGACTATTTCCCCTCGGGTCTCAGTGGTCTCTCTATCCCGCCTCTAGACTATTCTAACATCTTTCATTTCGAAAGCTGGAGGAAATCGCCGCGTCTACCACGCTCCACTCCCGCCTCCCCCTCCCCGTTCACCATTCCCAGGGTGTCGCTGAGAGTCGGCGGTTCGGACACCGGCTCCGTAAATGGCATGCTTCCGCGAAGTCATTCGAAACCAGACTTGGTACCGTCCTCCTCGCCTCGTAGATAGTACTCCCTGTCCCGTTCGACCTTATCGGGACTCCTTTGTCCCGTAGAGAAGTTTCCAAGTAAAATCGTTCGACTCGTTTCTTGTCAAAACGATCTTCGATCGCATTCCGAGCGGTTCAGTATAGAACGTTCTTCTAAACGTACGAATGAATTTTTATTTTGAGACTTCTCTGTTGTAATGTTTTTTTTCTTTGTGTCTTGAGCGTTAAACGATAACATGTTTGCTTTACTCACTGTTGCTTCCTTATATGCATTTAATGCGCATTACTGTTATATATATTCATATATATTTACACGCACACGTGTATACATACGTACATACACACACGCACACAGACTCTTAATATGTCTCCCATAACCAAGTATAAAAGATAGAAAGAAAATATTTGGGTATTCGCACGAAGGTCGAATAACATACAATTAGTAATATATATACATATATACATATATACATATACACACACACACACACGTAATTATAGACGATTCATTAATTTATAACATTGTACATTTGCTACATTCCTTCGGCGACAAAAGCCGACCGAGCATTCTGTATGTACCATTGAAAGGGTAGGAGCTTGCAATTTGTTCGTCGAAAATCTCCGGTTGTCCTATAGCATTGAAGGGTGGCGATCGTGTGGCTGTTCGCATTGATTAACTATTGTCACTGAAATCGTGTTGTCCCGTGTCCGTCGTGTCGTAGACTTGTACTCTATACGCCAACCTTGTCGCAACTCCCCCCGGTGTACCTGTTTGTCGATTGTGATACCGATTACATCCGTAACAGTGTCTGAGAGGTACAGGTGCGATCATACGATAACACAAACAGGGGCGGGTCGGTGGTGAAACTGTGGTAATCGCTGTATGTTGTACACTCATCGGAGAAAGTAGTGAAATGTCGATGTCCGTTGGTAAACGCTTACACGTCCGGGCCTCTCGTGTATAATTCAATGTCTCCAAATGTGTACGTTCGATCGCGCGGCAAACAAAGCTACCCTTGCGTTAGACGCGTCCCTAGTAAGGACCCGACCGACGAAACGTCGGGGAAAGTAAAAGAGATTCCACGAGTTCGGAACGGTCCACCTAGATAAAGAGAACAAGGTCAGTTGAACAACAGATTTGTCGATGCGATTACGCTTTATCGATAAACCAGATTATTAACGTGATCATTGATTCCGTCCGTCGCGAGGGGAAACCTTCTCTGATCGCCGTCTTCACGTTACAGAGATTGGAGGAGCAGTTCGCTCTGCAGCTGGAGGAGCAGGAGGCGATCTACGGGCCGAGCGCGATACCACTGTGCCTGCCGGCGGATCTCCCGGATCTGACGCACCACACGGCCGGCTCGACGCGCAGTTCGCTCTCCTCGGTGAGCGAGGGCTAACGCGCTCCAACCACCAGTCCGGATCATCGAAACGATTCGCTTCCACGAGAGCGTGCCACCTCTCTCGAAGTTCGCGTCGCCGCGTCGAAACGTGTCACCGCTCCGCCTCCATCCTCGCCGAGTGTCAGGACGAGCCCGCCTCGAACGAAGTGGACCACCGCGAGCAGAAACTGGATGATCCCGAGGAACGGTACTTTCGACCAGCGGTCCGTGTCGACGAAAGGAGCGCCGTTTATCGGAACCGATATCGAAACGGGCTCACCGGAAGGCTTGAGCCGGTCTCGCGAGACGCGATGGAATTCCACGCGATATCGCCGAGAGGACACAATGGCAGAGCCCGGTTTGGATTAGGAGAAACGAGGAAATCCCGATCACCGTTCCCGAGAATTCGAGAGGAGCGTCACGAGCGTACCGATTTCCACGTCTTCTACGCGTACGCGCGTTGCGCAGGTGCATACGTGCGTCGAGCGCATTGATCGAATGATCGTCAATTCGAAGGAACTTTTGCTGTCCGATCCGACGCGAGGAGCTAGTGTCTAGCGTGTTCGAGAGATGCCTAGCCAATTTTCTACGTAGCTAAACAAAACGCGCGCGTGCGTGCGCGGAGATAATATATTTTCGCTCGTTCGAACCGTGACTCCGTGGCTCGTCGAATTCGCGGGATGCCGTTCGAACGCGGAACGGAAGGATTCGATCGGTCTTTCGATCACCGCGTAGCTCAAGCATCGATCCTGATGCTGGATCGTTGCTCGTGCGTTTGTTTGTTTGTTTGTTTGTTTGTTTTTCTTTCTTTCGAAGAAACCGTCAAATCTCCGATAGGATTGTTCATCGATCGAGATACGCGAATCTATTTTCTAGCGGATAATAATAAACACCGTTTAACACTACGAATCAAAGGTTTACGCCAAATATGTACACAAATGTATGGTTGCTTGTTGCGCGGCTACGTAGCCCGACGACGTTACAGAGAGAGAGAGAGTGTGACATCCGATCTTGCGACGCGCGGTCGAGACGAGAGCGTGCGCGGCTAATGCGACCCCGTAGATGTAAAGAGGTATATTTGTATAAAATGTTTTTCTGTTCGTTTCTCGGTCATACGTATTCTCTTCCTTTTCTCTTGTCGTTTGTACATTGTCACTTGTTTTTCCTCGAATGGTTTCGCTCGTTTCTCGCGTTGATCCGTCTGAGAGAGGCGGTGTGCTTGTGTTGCCCCTTCGCGAAGGGAGCCTTCTGTTTTGTACATACTTTATATAGAAAATCGAATCGAATCGAATCTCGTACAGTGTATTTCGAGTATCGTCGTTCGCGGCGATCGTCATCGACCTTGGAAACGGTTCGTCTTCCTGGTTTCCCGCGGAACGTCGTCGATTCCCCGTCGCCGGCAGAGCGCGCGTCGCTCGACGTTCCGGGGAAATTCGACGGGAAATCCGACGGCGGTACTCGTCCGTCGCAGTTCAACGGTTCCCGTTGGAATCGACGCGAGTATCGCGGTCGAGTCGAATGAAGCAGGAAAAAAGAGGACATTTGCCAAAGCACATTTACATACGCGCGTATGTAGACACATGTATATTCTTGGGGTACGAGAACGATTGAGAACGGTGTAACGGTTACAGTTGAAAGTTGGAAACGCCACGATTAGACTTTCGTCGCGCGGAACACGCCGCCCGTTGCCCGCTGCCCGGGATGCCCCGTCGCGAGGAGAATTCAGATTTTTATACTAGTTACCGGGCGAACGCGTAGACGCATTTTTTCAGGAGCACGGGATCGAGTCGCGGGCGGCGGCAACGGGGCGAGTGTTCGAACTCGCACGGAGAATGTACGTAGATTTAACGAATCGTAATTTATAAGTGTTGATCGACGCGCGGAGAGAATCGATGGAAACGCGGAGAGAGAAAAAGAAAAAAAAATATATATGTATATGTATATATATATATGCATTATGTATATATATACAGGAATGGAGAGGAGGACTCGCCTCCTCGGATATTTCCGTAACAGCCTTAACCCGCGGACTTCAGGGGATCGTTCGCGTACGGTCGAAAGTGTTCATCGTACTTACGACGATCGGAGAGAGCGAAACAATGCAATATATAGAATCGAAAGGGGGCAGAGAGAGAGAGAGAGCTGTCGACGAATCGACGCATCGAATCAATTTAACCGTCGGTTCGTTTGATTTAGTCAACGTTAGGGGATAACACACTTCTTCCTTTTTGTCTCTTGTTGTTAAGCCGAGTATATTCTTTCTGTTTCCTCGTTTCTTCTTCCTCTTTCTTCTCCGGACCGTCTTGGGATCGTTGCACGTGCAGTATTTAAGGATACGAAGCGGTTCGTCATCGTTCGTTCGTTCTTCCCTCCTTTCTCTTTCTTTCCTTTTCTCACTTTGTTAATGCCCGTCGCGCGAATCGAATCCGTTCAATTGAATTCTGTTGTACCGGTCGGCGTTCACCGGCGAACCGTGCCGATCGCTTCCGTAAATACCGAGGATCGATAGACTGAGAACGGGTGAACGACGGGAGAATCGGGAGATGAGATTATTGTTGATCTGTTCGTTGCGATTGAATGTTTACGTCTGACGTTGTTCTCGTCGGGTTCCTCTATCATCCGATGTGTCGCCGATGGAGCGGCGTGTCAGATCGGACAGCGTCCCGCGCGCCGACTCGAGCGGACCGTTCGATCAGCGATCGGAGAAGCATCGATCGGATTGTTTATAATATTTATTTCGACGTCGATGAGGAGTACTTTCATTCCTCGCTTCTCTCGGGCAAGGTGTGTGTCTTCTCGCGGCACTGTGTTCCTTCGCCCTTCGGATCGAGATTATTTAACGTGCGCGTGTTTATATCGTGCGGACTAAGCCTTAAGTTGTTAACCGATAATCGAGTTTCCGAGTATACCGGACACCGGCCGGCGTGTCTCGTCCCGGACGTCCAGCCGATCATGTTCGAATTTCCTCGCGAGGGAAACGATCGCGGGAATGATTACGTCGGCCTGCTGTCACGCATATATTACTGTACAGGGAGAGCGAAGTCTTACGCCGGAGGAAGGTCTCTTCGAATCGTTCACTTTTCTCCTCGATCGGGACTGACGTCCCAGCTCGGCGACGCGCACGGGTCCCTTAATTCTCGAGGAGAACGCCTTTGCTCGCGAATCGCCGATCCTCACGGAAACCAAAACGATCTTCTCCTCGGCAACGTCGTCGCGCCGGAAACCGGCGATCCATGTACCCACGTTTTTATAGTTTTGCTAAACGAATCGCTGTAAAGGGAGGGAGAGGAAGGATGCGAGAGAACGAGAGAGAACGAGAGAGAGAGAGAGAGAGCGCGCGCGAGAGAGATAATTTTTTATACATAACTGATAACTTTCATTTGAGTGGTATGACGCGTCGACTGAGATCTATACTTAAAGATGTATGTCGCTGTAACATAAAATCTTTACAATTAATTGCTCAGTACTAGGTTATAACTGGATTCAACACGATCATTAATATAGACCGTAAGACTAATGTTACGATTATTTACACGATAATGTTATTAAGAAATAACGCAATAAATATTTTACTTCTACTCGTTGATGACACGATCGTTCGTTCGCGACGTGAGGAGGCCGTTCGCTTATCGTCGTGCCGCGTTATCGCGCGGCACACAGTCATGCGGTAGTGTTTAGAGAAGATCGTGACAATTTAGCGGCGATAACGGGCCACCGCATCCTTTTTCTCCGTTCTCGTCCTCCATTCGTCTTCGAGATCCTTGCTCCCTTTCGCACCGACGAATATAAAGGCTGGAGAACCGAGCGATTTGCATAGTCTAGCGGAGGTGATCGGTCCACGAGCAACGGGCCGTTGTTTTATTTTGGAGTAGCAAAGTAAGTGGCAAGGAGGATCGCGCACGTTTCCGGTTCCCGTGAAAACGACCCAAGTTCGAGAGATGTACAGGGCGTTGCGCCTCGCGATTTTTCGCCTCCCACCGTAATAGTTTCTGCATCTAGTAATTGCGTGCTAAAATGATTATCGAGTTGTTTGAACAGTAAACGTTGAGTTGAGTTATGTCGTCGAGCTTATGCGCGGAGCGTGACTGGCGAGATTTCGATCGGTCTCGAGCTCTCCGATTAAAATACCGTCGTTCCGTTCGTGCCGCTTGGAAATGCGCATTCTCGTTGGATATATACCGTGTTTTAACGAATGCTATATGATTTTTGCCTCGAATAGGTCGCGTGCCAGCGCACAGATGCCGCAGCCGGCGAGGAAGAGAAAGGTTTGCGTGGTAGGAGCGGGCGCCGCCGGCTTGTGCGCCGCCAGACACCTGACGCCAAATTCAAATTTCGAGGTGAACGTTTACGAGCAGACCAGCCACGTCGGCGGAACATGGATCTATACGGAGAGCACGGGACTCGACGAGAACGGCCTGCCCGTGCACTCGAGCATGTACCGGGATCTGAGGTTCGGCTCGACTCCCGGTTACGAACCGATCTTTAACCCTTTGCACTCCGAAGTTCGCTAGAAATATTTCAGTATTTTCTGATGAGACGAAGACGATATTTTCTGAAACTGATTCGAAGAGAAATTCACGTGAATTGACGGACAGAGCTATTCTACGTCAATATTTCTTTGATGCATTGTATGAAGTGTAATATTAAATATCAAACTTTATTAGCTCGGAAGCTTTTCAGTGGAAACATTCGACACTTTCCAATGAGACGTAGATGATGCTATTTGAAACGAACTAATGAACATACGTCGATTAGGAAACAAAGCTGTTTTATAGAAATATTTCACATATCGATGCATTATATGAAACTTAACCCTTTGAACTCTAGGCTCCAACATTGCATCAGGAATAATATGAAACATTTTAATGAATCTTAAAGAAACTACCCTAAAATTATTAGACTTTCCACACATCCAAATTTTGTTGGATCTCGACTTTCCTCCGAGCTGACAGCTTCCGTTCCCGCAGAACCAATTTGCCCGCGAAGGTGATGAACTTCCCCGATTACCCGAGAATGAACGCCGAGGAGCCTTGCTGCGTGACGCACCGGGACATCCGGAGCTACCTGGAGAATTACGCGGAGCATTTCGACCTGCTGAGGCACGTTCAGGTAAATCGGAATCGTTCACGCGCGCTTCAGATATTTCGCAAGTTTCTCGTCTTGCAGTTCAACACGCGAGTGAAGACCGTTCGCTTGAACACTCGGGAGGCTGAGGAGAAGTGGACCGTCCGGATCGAACGGTTGAAGACGAAGGAAGAGGAGGAGCTCGAGTACGACGCCATGATGGTTTGCAACGGGTGCGTCCCGGAAACTCGCGTGACTCGCGATGAGCTCGTTGGGTTGAACGATGATTTCTGTTCGAACGATTTAGGCATTACTTCGACCCGTACGTGCCGAGCGTGCCTGGCATGGACACTTTCACGGGGAACAAGATGCACAGCCACGCGTACAGGAAGCCGGAGGATTTCGCGGGGAGGACCGTGTTCGTGCTGGGAGCAGCCTCTTCCGGGATCGACATCGGCATCGATTTGACCGGCCACGCGGCTCGAGTGTACTTGAGCCACAACGGCGAAAGGTATTAGTAGGATAAGAAAGCCATAGTTTCCTCATCCGAGAACTTGGATGGCACTAAACGACGTAAGAATGAACCCTTTGCACTCGAGAGGCGACGCTCAGTCACACTTGATTTGATAAAACTGTGAACTTGAACATTTAGTGTTCTAAATGAAATTTTGTATTGCGTGAAATATTTGAGTAAAAGCTTTGTTGCTTAATTTATCTGAGAACGTGGAGTACTTCTAGCGAGAAACTTTCGAGTGCAAAGGGTTGGTAGAGAGATCTCTAAGAATCTCAATGTTAGACTTACGGAACCCGTGAATTTAACGTAAATTGAATGCTTTAAACGTAGCAATTCAATTTATCGATGCAATTACGAGAATTCGTACTAGAATCCTCCGTTCTTGACGCACCGTCTATGATCGATCTGAAGAAATAGGCTTTTAACGATAGAATAAATCGTAGAATCTCTAAGAATCTCAATATTAGATTCATGGAATTCGTGAATTTACAGTAAATCGAATACTTTAAACATAGCAATTCAATTTATCGATGCAACTATGAGAATTCCTATTATAATCCACTGTCCTTCACACACCGTCTATGATCGATCTGAAGAAATAGGCTTTTAACCATAAAGCGTACGAACGCCCGCGAATCTATCGTCGAAACGTCAAAGGTAGAACAATCGCGCTTCGAATCGGTCAGGTTGAAGAGCACGTTCCCGGGGAACCTGACGGAAGTGGCGGGCCTGGAGCGCGTAGACGGGCAACGGTTCACCCTGAAGGACGGAACCGCCGTCACCGCGGACACGCTCATCTTCTGCACCGGCTACAAATTCTCCTTCCCGTTTCTGGACGACAACTGCGGGATCCGCGTGGACCAGAACCACGTGACTCCCCTGTACAAGCATCTGATCAACATCGACCACCCGACGATGTGCGTCGTCGGCGTGCCCACCGTCGTCATACCGTTCCCCATGTTCCACGTACAAGTAATCGCGCATCACATTCGATTTCGGGCGAAACCGAAGGTCCGAATTCTAAACGCTACCGAATTCCTCAGGTGCAATACTTTCTCGCTCTGCTGGAGAACAGAGCCAGCCTGCCGTCGAGGTCGGAGATGCTGGAGGATTCGAGGCTGAAGACGGCGAAGAAGAGGCACGCGCACAAACTGCAGGACAAGCAATGGGAGTACAACGACTCGTTGGCCGACGCCGGCGGCTTCGAACGCTTGCCACGGTTTTACAGGAATGTTTACGACAAGTGGTCCGCTCTGAGGATGATGGACCTTCTGCGCTACAAGTCGGCGAAGCTCGTCATCTCCGCCGATGGGGAATCCATTCAGTTGGCTATTCGCGATTAACCCTTTGCACTCGGGAGGTGACTCTTAGTCATCTCTTGATTTCCTACAGTGAAGCTATAAAGTTGGATATTTAATATTATACTTCATATAATGCATCAATTGTTGCTTTGAAAATTTGATAGTTTACTGTATGAAATCAAGCGGTGACAGCAAGGGGTTAACGATTTCTCAGAGAAGCTTCTGACCTCGGTGATTGTAAGATAAATCAGGAATTGGTGATTTTCACTTGGTAGTTCCAGTGTTAAACCATTTTTAGATGCCAACGGTAACCAAGAGGTTAACGTCGACGGGGCTCGGAAAGGCCTCGAGACGATTGCACGAGGGTTTTATTTTCAAAAGGGAAATACAGTCATATTGTACGCAACCGAGTCGAGAGACAGTTCATCATTATTCGTCGAGCATAGCCTTATTCCTGATCCAGTCCACAACAGATATGACGTCGGTGTAAACACCCGGCGACCTTTCCGCGGCGCACTCGTCGCCCCAGGAAGTGATGCCGATCGCCGTAGAGTCCACCGTCAGTGCTCCACCCGAGTCACCCTGCGAACCGAACGTTTCTATACTCACAATGCACAAAATAGAATTAATTTAAATAAAAAAAGAATAGTTCTTTCCAACGGGGAACCGAGTACAGAGTACAATTCCAGAACGTTACTCTCACGCCATTATTCACCTTAATTATTCTGATTACCACGTTGAATGATTTCACGGTGGAAAGTACACAAAATGGGAAAAATCAAATATTAAATCATTCGATTGAATTACTATAATTGCTCGTCCATCTAGCTGAACGTCAGCTCATTAGGTATCATCGTTTAATTGAGCGAACTGAAGTAACTCGGTTTGATTGGGGGTCACCGGTGACCCGTGGCATTCAACGTGTCAATACTCTACTTATTCATAAATATTTAATAACGAATATCTAACTATTGAGTATCTGCCTTACAATGGCACATATTCACAAACAGGAGAACCAAATCTACCAATACGCAAAGTCTCAACAAAATCTCCTCGTCAGTTCAACGCTCCCCATAGTTACCTTGCACGAGTCTTTCCCTCCGTTCTGGAACCCATAGCAGATCTGCCGATCGGTGACCTCGTAGCGACCCGCGTAGTTCTGCCTGCATGTTTCCCTGCTGACCCTGGGCAGGACGACGTACTCCAGGTCCTCCGACAGCACCGGGTCCATATCCTGAAATTCGTTCAAATTTTCCTTAATTCAAGTGCTCGTGTCCCGGTAACCGAATCGGAAACGAGTCGTACAATGAAGTAACCCCATCCGGCTATCAGACCCCAGGACTCGTTGACGAAGCTGGATCGGCGCGGCAGCTTCACCGGTTGCGCGACCCTGCTGAAGTTGAACGGCGGGTGCACGCGTACCACCGCGACGTCGTAGTCCTCGTTGTCGGAGTTGTACTTCTCGTGGACGATCATATGCGTGACGTTGTGCACGGTGCCGCCGTAATCGTGGTTGTTCGAGCCGCTGCGGACGGTGACGTTCGCGGGGGAGGGAGGGAGGAATCTGCAAGGGGACGATCGTGAAACATAGGGAACTCGCGGAGGATCTTAGTGTAGACACTCGAGAGGTGACTCAGTCGCTTGATTCGATACAGTAAACTTATAAGGTCATATATAGTATTAACCTTCGTATAATGCATCGATATGTGAAACATTGGAAAAGCTTTGTTTCAATTAGCGTGTGGTATCAATTAACGTCGTCTATATTTTTAGTAGCCCTACAAAGATAAATTCAGGGGAACCATTGTAAACGGAGGCTACTCCCGAAGAGCGCGCGTTAACCCGATGTTCGCGGAGCGTGCGTCGAATCTAAGCTGTTCGATCTGCCTGAAATTTCGCGATTTCGAGTTTCAAGATGAAGACGGTTCGCCCTTTTGCGTGTCGATACTTGGGGCCTGAGAGATAGTCCAGGCCCATCGACTAATTTACGACCAAGGGGACCACCATGACCTGGGTCATGTACGCCCATGAAGAGTTGGAAAAGCGCTGAGGAAAAGCAGTTAGTCGCGTAATAAATATATTTAACCTGACGGACTTAGTTTTTATTTTAGCCCTACATTAGCAAGCTTCTTTACTTACGAAACGACGCAATGTGCCGCTGTCAATGCCCAGTCCTTCGAGAGAATGCTAGCGCCGCACGCGTGCTCGCTGTTTACCATGAACGATAACTGCGAACAATCGTTTCGTCAGTCGGTATTTGTTCTTATCTGATAATATCCAGCGAGATGAAACGAGAAGGAAGGAAATGAAATTGTGTAACTTGCCATGAACGGGACCTTCGAGATGTCGATCGCCGATCCACCGACGATCCGGTCCGCCGCGGACATCTGCGAACCGTTCGCCGAGCATACTGCGGATACTGTAGCACACAGCGAGATGAAACGTTTGAGAAGAGGACACGCGTTAGCGGTCTGTACTCACGCGAGAGGAATAAGCACAGCTCGAGGAGGATCATGGTCGTGTCGGAGGCGGTCTTCTGCGGGCGTTCTCGCGTATACGTCGGAGCAACGTGTCCTTACCACTCGCCGAAAGAACGAACGGTTCTACCGTGCATACGCGAGAGTTTCGTAATTACATTCGTATCGTTATCGTACGGTTACGTCGATGCAAATACGCGGCGTCTCGGATAACACTCGAAACCCGTGCACTCGGTTTCGCGGGTGAAATGGATTCGCTATTCATGAATTCCGCGCTGTCGAAGGTGTCGCCGTCACCTCGATAAACGCTCGCGCGGAAATTACAGCTCATTTAGAGGTGGCTGATATATTCTTCGAATTTCGAGGCGCACCGTCGCTTCGTCGGCCTAGTCGTCGACGGTTGGCCGTCGGCGAGATTATCGTTTTTCTGGTGACTCGAATATAACGAGAACAGTAATATTATAATTAACACTCGTGTAATCGTGCGATTAGCATAGAAATACTCTGCACCTGTGTGTCGCGAAGGAGGAGGGAGGGGTAACGACTGTTCGAGCCGGAGTAGAGGCTCGCTTAAATTTCATGGCTCGGTTAAATTTTACAGCGTTCAATCTTCCACTCGCTGTCTCCAGCTCGGTATAGTGCGTCTCAGTGGACGGAGACAGGAAATTAACCCTTTGCACTCGAAAGTTTTCACTAGAAATGTTCAATATTCTCCGATGAGATACGGACGATATCCCTTGACACTAATTAATGAGGAAACATGTATAAATCAAGAAGGAAAGTTATTCTATTCGATACTTAACATTAAGTTCTCCAAAAATAATAAGAGATTCATAATAAGAAATTCATAAAGATTCATATAAATAATAACAAAATTCATCGCAGGAGGCAAATTTCCGAATCCATTCGCAGCGCGAGTTACCGATCTCGACGGTCGAGATAATTCCCGTTCGATCGCGACGACGCGAGAGTCGCAGTCGAAGGGTGGAAAGTCGAATTGGCGCGTGCAGCGGGTCGGCCCGCGAAACAATAGTTGGTAGAATAGAGAGAAGGTTGCGACCGGTGATTTGGGCGAGCCGCGCCGGTTGGTCGAGGGGTGGCGGTGCGGTAGCGGCGCGGCGGTCCGCGCCGAAACAACCCTCAGTGTGAAACTAGTCGCGCACTGGGACGGTCGCGGTGAACGGTTACGGGTGCAGGTCCGCGTCCGATTTCTCTCGTGCCTCGGTAGATCGCGTAGCGTTGTACACTCGTTTTTACGCTTCGATATTATTCCGCGTGTCATCTAGTCGTGTGCGTCGAGATCGTCGGCGGTTAGCGTCGTCGTGTTTTATTCGGTAGTGCGACACCCGTTGCGTCCGTGCTCGTCGAAGGTTAGGACAGTTCGCGTAAATCGGAGGAGCCGTCGACGGGACCGAGAGCAGCGATCCCGGACAAGGTAGCGGACAGCATCGTCGTCTCGTCTCTCGGTGAGTCTATTTGATCCGTTGCCAGCGTCCACGGTGATATAACCTCAAGTTTACGACGATCCGGTCGTCTCGGTAGCTTCTATCTTTACCGGTGGCCATCCCAGGACTCGACAGCGCGAGTCTCGGCCCCCCCGAGCCGTTCGACCTTTCACCTAATTCTAGAGGAAAGAGAACCCGACCAGGCGACGTACAACGAACGTTCTCGGGAGGGCCTGGACCGTCGCTCGCCTCGCACCGAGTTTTTCGCGAGTCCGGGCCGCCCTTTGCGAATCAATCGACGCGGCAGCACGGAGAGGGACGAATCGAAAACGACTACGAGCAGTCGAAACGAAAATAGTTTCTCTTATTCTCTTCCTCTCCGTCCCAACGTCATTGGCGCGACGCCTAGCGAATTGTGTTTTCGTCCTCCGAGAGGAATCTTGCGGGCCTAGACGCTCTGTTCCCTCTCATTGACCGGCCATCTTGAATCGATATTTATCGAGCGGCCCGATCGAACGCCGCGCAGACATTTTGGATTTCCCGATGTCTTTGCCGTGGCTTCTTGGTATCGCCCGAGGAAATTCTTTTGGTAATCGTCTAGGTGTTCCCTTAATTTTCCTTGGAATTCACCTTTGCACTCGGAACGGGTTCGGTGCCTTAACACTTCGCACGGAAGGCGACCCTGTCAGTTGACTCGACGCGAAACTGTAGAATCTGATATTTAACGTTGAACTGTACAATGACTTGGCACGTGAAATATTAGAATAAAATAGCTTTGCTCCTGAATGTTCTTCGAGGAATATCTTCGCCTGAGAAATGTTAAACATTTCGAAGTTCCGAGTGCAAAGGGTTAACAGTTCATTTCAGATTTTTCTGGAATATAAATTTCGCGTAGAAATTATTTCTTTCCATTTACTTTATTCGAAAAGAATTTTACAGTTTGAAATAAATTATATATGTCTGCGATGCGAATCATATCTACAGCAGAGCTGGAGTGCAAAGAGTTAATATTCGATGGAAGATTTCGGAGTGACGTAGGTTAGGGATCTCGATTCGAGCGAGCCGAGAACGTCGACGAGTTAACTCGTCTCGGAATCGATTCGTTCGATTGTTAGCCAAAGATCGGAGGAGCGGGAAGTGCAGCGCGCTAAAAATAACGGTCGAGCCGAGCGTGGTTCGGGCTTTCCTATAAATCTCGTGTTTTGCCCGAGCCTCGAACCAGAGAGTGACGTTTCTATAGGATAATTGGGCCAAACGAGATCAACGATCGCAGCTTTTTTATTTCAATCCGCGCGTCGCTGTATCGGCCCGCCGAGGAATTCCCCGAGGAAATATCGGTGTTTCCTCGATAATTACCGAAGACGAGATCAGGTACGAATTGTTTTCAGCCATTTGTTATTTCCGATGTCAACAATTAGGGGACGTATTTATTTCGTACTTTCTGCACGCGACTCGAGTCGATTACACGCGTCCTTGGTTAGGTTAGGTCAATTTTCGGTTGACGCTAGAACTACGCATCAGTCGAAATGACTGGTTTCGATCTTTTAGCAATTATTGATATATTCGAAATGATTTTGAAAATAGCTTCATTTCAGTACTATAATGAATGTCCGAAGAAACCGAAAATAATCTATTGTTAGAATTTTTATGGGAATTGCGTATTAATCGTATTGAATGCTCGGAAGTCCTGGTATTAATTAACAGGCAAAATGGCTGATTTAGATTCTTTTGTTTCGCAATTATCGATATTTTCGAAGCATTGAATGTTCGAAATGATTTTGAAAATAAATAACTTCATTCGAGTACTATAACGACTGTATCAGGAAACCGAAAATAATCTATTGTTAGAATTTTTATGGGAATTGCGTATTAATCGTATTGAATGCTCGGAAGTCCTGGTATTAATTAACAGGCAAAATGGCTGATTTAGATTCTTTTGTTTCGCAATTATTGACATTTTCGAAGCATTGAATGTTCGAAATAATTTTGAAAATAAATAGTTTCATTTCAGTACTATAATGAATCTCTCAAGAAACCGAAAATAATCTATTAGAATTTTTATGGGAATTGCGCATTAATCGTATTAAATGCTCAGTAGTTCTGTCAAAGCCTGTACCGGTATCCGAGACTCCGCGAAACGCGAAAATCGCGAATTTCCGTTGTTCAGGGCCGTGTTCGACGAGGCCCTGGTCTCTCGAATGGGTCAACGAGGTTCGCCGGATAAAAATGTCGCGAGATTCGATGGAGGACAAGGCAGCAGCCGCGAGGGCGTCCGTTTCTTCGGCGTTGTTGAGCACGTGCGCGGTTAATTGAATGTTCAAAGACGAAGTCGAGCGAATCGTCGATGCTCCCGCGGCCGCATGCATATTCATTTATGCATATTCGTCGTCAGGCGATTTTATCCGCGCGTTGTGCGTCGTTACGACGTTACGGACAGATTGCCACCGCATTGCCGATCATTCCGCGAAAATGATCCACCCTCTCGCGGGCCGGGCAGTTGATTAATTCGTCGCGGTGCACGACTGGAACCGTGCAACGGTCGATACCTTTCACGCGTATCCTCCGCGTCCTACTCGCCGACCGGTCCAATATCCATTTCGGTTGAAAGCGGCGCACTGTGCGGCATTTGCCATCGAAATACGGTAAAAACTACCTTTTCATAAGCATCCCCGAAACCAGAGACGAACTACGCGCGTAGTCAACACTGAAACTACCGAGCAGTTAAATTGAATTTTACAAATTTCTTTATAGGAACTTCGAGAGTACGTCTATCGAGACTTTCACTGATTTATGATTCAGTTCTCGCATTGCTAAGTCAATTTCTTCAATCATTTTCTAGGTGAATGGTGAATACCAAAGTTTTTAATGTTGCTCTATCAAATAATAAGAAACTATGTTAGGAATACCAAGTTACAAATGATCTATTCGAACAGCAAGAAATCAGTACCAGTTTTCTTATTCTTTACGGTTTAAGTATTCAGCGTTTAATTTAGCAGAAAACAATCTTCTATTCTTTCTATCTTCTATTGTATTCTAAATTTGATCATTTCGTTCGGTCAAGACAAATGGCGATTGAAAGGCGCCGCCCGAGTGCAAAGGGTTAATTATCGACGCACTACGCAGTGTCGAAGAAAGCGACCTGGAAATGATGAAAGACTGAAATAAAGAATGGCAACTTTACCGCGTTAGCAATTGAAATGATTACGGGTAGTTTCTCTCTCCAATGATACGAGAAACAACACCGAGTACTGAATAAGTCCTCGAATGAAAAATGCCGTACCCATACGAGGATCGCGTGACGCGCGAGCGGTGTCGCATGAAAATTGTAGCGGCTACTACAATTATGAATAGTAGCACTCTATTTATCCTCTATATTAGTCCTCAGTCGTTTCGAGGTTCTTCGAAGCTCTGTGATCGCGTTGATAATTAACCCTTCGCACTCGACGATATTTTTCATGAAAAATATTTATTAATCTCTGACTTAATATTAATGACATTTTTCGCAACTAACACAATTGATTATCTTATATGAAATAAGAGACAGAACTACTTTACCTCGTTACACAAGGTTTAATATTGAATTGAAAATTTTATAAGTTATAACCCTCAGCACTACTTGTTTCGCAATCTACCAGCAAAACTGCAATTCATTTTTACAGTATTCCCAGCGAAAGTTAGAAATGCTATAACATTTGATGCTGATCGAAATATTATATCCATAATTGCTAAACGAAAAAGTCGTCAGTCATTTCG